AAAAATGTTCAAAAAATCACTAGTAAGTTGTCAAATGAACTTTATAAGAGAACTATTCATGCAATAAATGTTTCAGAAGCCTCGTTGTTATGTGATTTAATAAATTTCATATTTTAAAAATTTTACTATGCAATCAGCGAAATTTTTGCGATACCGATCGGAAGTGCTTACCTTTGCAGATCCTTATTCTGAAATTTCCAACCATTGAAAATATAAACTTCTTTTAAAAAGGCACGAATAAAAATATGAACTGATTCGTAAAAATTAATTTGGTCACTGTGATACATTAATAATAAAACTTTATACACTGCTTATGCATATGCATGAAACAATTTATAAATACATTACGAAAACAATTTAATGTATCTAAAACATTCTAATAAATTTATTAATCACTCCAATAAATAATCATAATAAATATATAACAAAAAATCTGGTGCCCGCAACACACAACTTTCACTTACCGCTCAACTTTGAATAGAAATTATTTACTGGCCATGTTGGGCTATTATAAATTTTTTTAACTGAGCTAAAGCTAAAAGTTTGCAGCTAAAAAATCATAAATACTGTTAAAATAACAAAAGTCCTATTTATTACATCACCGGTTGATTATGCATTGAAAGATTTGTTGATTATGGATTGTACCATCCGTTGATCATGGATTGTAGGTCTATTATTTATTAAACTGTTATTTTTCATTGCAAAATTTATTAAAACGGAATTAAGAGATTTGCATTGTCTGTCATCGACAGGTCAAAAGTTGTCACACTAATTGTAAGTGGATTCTGTTGTAATATCGCAAAGGGAGAATTCATCAAATTACTCTCTAATTTAATTTTTTAAAAGGTTACATAATGATTTTTCGGAATAAACGGACGATAGATATCTAATTATTTATATATAATATCAGATCTAGAGTTATTAAACTACATTAAATATGTTTAAGGTTATAAATGTCTCCATGAATTATTTTTATATTTCACACTGGTACAATGAAATAGTATTTTATCACCCATGATAATTATCACCCATGATATTTTAAACATTATTGCCTTGAATCCGTGGGTTTTAAATTATATTTTAAACTTTGAAAAAAATGTTAAAAGTTTACATTTAGTAAGCAAATTTCATTTAATTTCCTTGAAAACATGTTATTGTTTATATTTTGTTCACCACTCTTCGTTACCTTCTACAATTTTCTATATTAGATATTGTTTTTTCTAAAATTCTCCGCAATTTTAATTAACAATTTTCTAAAATTGTGTTTTTTCACTATGATAAATAGTTATAATTTATAATAAACCAAATTCAATGTACTTTAGAGGAAAACATGATAATGTTGTGAAAACAAAGGGAAAATTAATCAAATTATTCGCTAATTTAATTTTCTAAAAAGTTACAAAACAATTTTTCGGAATAAACGTTGACACCTAATTTTTTAAATATAATATCAGATCTATAATCACTAAACTACAGTAAATGTATTTAAGGTTATGAACATATGCTTTATAGATCCATGAAATGATTTTATATTTTACTTCTTCTATCACACAAATACAATGAAATAGTTTTTTAACAATGCCATTGCCTTGATTAGGTGGATTTTAAATAATTTCTAGAAACGTAAAAATATTTTTTAAAGTTTACATTTAGTTAGTAAATTTCATTCAATTTCCTTGAAAACATGTGATTTAAAATATCATCAGTTTTCAAAAATTGTGATTCATAATTTTTTAGCCACTCTCCGTTACCTTCTACAACTGTCTATATTAGATATTGTTTTTTTCTAAAATTCTCCGCTTTCTAATATATTAAAAGTATACCTTTTTCTGACTTGTTTTTTTAGTTTTAACTTTTGTTTATTGATAAATATTACAATCTGTCTCAATAAAGGACATTTATAATAGAGTTCAGAGAGCACATTCATACCATATTTACAAATTAAAAAAAATAAATAAAACAAATAAGCTAACTTCAAATAATATAAAGCTACAAAAGAACAAAATAAAATGTCATAGTGAAGAAAGAAAATACAAATAATAGTAATAATAGAATGAAAATAAATGAATAAAATAGAATTAAAATTATCTTAGAAAAAAAAAAAAAAGTAATGGAAATAAACATCTTAGATGCAGGCATACCTATTTACAGTCGGCCATAGGAACTCCGAACCATACTTATCCCCCCACACGTGGAGGGAAAGCAAGGCTTCAGGAGATCCCTGCGCTTCTTCCTCAACCATTTCACTGGCATTGAAAGCCAGCGGAGATTGAGTAAGGGCGCTACAACCACGGACACTCATGACGAGTGGAGAATTTGGCCATTGCCCTTCTGACTTGTATTAGCGGAGATTCATTTTCGACCTGTATAAGAATTTTTATTGTTTTCTCCTCTATTTGATTATCAAATTCTTTCAAAAGTTATAATTTTGCATTTTTTTGTAACTTTTAATAATGAGAGATTATTATTTAAAATAAACGATATTAAAGGTACTTTAGAGGTAGACGCATATGAACATTGGGCATTTAAGCCCTGTAAAGTGACATAAACGGGGATAAGTCCTAAATGATATTAAAGCCAACTTAATTATACAATGATTCACCGAGTTTAATCAAAATGGTTATAGCCGTTTTTAAGAAAATTGTAAAAATGTGTTTCAGCGTTGATATAAAGTGGCACTTCCGATTTTAATGAAAAAGTTTCTGTGACATCTAAGGCATATAACTATCTTAAATATGTAATATCAGTTACGTACGACTTTTCGTTTTTAGCTTAGAGTGTTCACATACATACAGACAAACAGATACACAGACCGGATGATTTTGATCTGATAACAGCTTTCAGAAATTATATATTAGCTAATACTATTTAAGTAGGACTGTAATTATTTATATATTGGTACTAAAGAAAAATAATTCTGAAAATGTTTGTTATCCTGATTTTAGCTCACATAATGGCTAACTAGTGGGTGCCAACAAAGATTCATTATTCCAGAATCAAATTAACAAAGAATTAAAACCAAAATAATTCTATAGAATACAAAGTTGTAACTGCTTTCGTTTTATTTACTGTTTACTTTATGTGTTTTAGCAATTGAGAAACGTGAAATCTTAAGCTAGCCTTCGGATCTCCATGTTTTATTTGCGATGAAAACATTTTCTTTTCGATGTTGTCATTAACAATCGTCCAACTGACATGATAACTTTTTTGCCATTGTGTCTTAATGCGCAGGTACATTAATGGCAACTCAGAGGTTGCTATAGTTTCCTTCGTAACGTATGAACGACAGATGCAGCAATAACCAGTTTTCTTATAATAAAGAAAATTAGTTTAGTATAAGTCTGTCATTTAAACTACTGCATTCTTCAATCTCTAGTGATTATTTCAAAAATACCTTGTAAATTAATTATAATCTCGATTCAAAGCTATAATTTATTAATAACTGTCGAATTAATCCAACTCTTAGCGGAAAGAAATGAGAACTTTGTTGAATAAACTTAGAAAGTCAATGGGGGAGAGTTTCTAACTTGAATAAGATATTATCTTTTCAGTTTCAAAATAAAAAGAAAATGTTTTCATCCCTATTAAACTTGATTTATAATTAGAAAAAGACATAATTTTAACTTATCAATTTGATAAGTAGCTTGCGTGGGCGCCATCACTGCTTGCCTAAGCGTCCCACGGGTGGAAGATATGGAAGGTGCAAGTTTCTTCATCTGATGTATATTTTTATTTATTTGCCTTTTTATTTTATTTTTTATTTATTTCTGCTTATTTCATAGGGTAGAAAATGGAAAAGCTACTCTAATTACATGTTTAAGAAGAAATTGAAATGAAACTTTAATTCGATTTTAGGTTTACATGTAATAGAAATAAAAATAGTGTAAAAAAAAACAACAACAAACAAGTTCGGTACGACATTATTTACTAAATAGTTCTGTATTTGGAAGAATTTAGTAATTAAATTTCAATAAACAATACTTGATTCCAGGATATGAGAAAACTGCCTTGGGCGCCAAATTGTTTCTGGTCTCGGTGAGTGCTTTCCCGCGTAGGAAAACATTACCGTTGATGGAAAATCCAATAGATTTTTTTCCTGACCATCTGGAACGGTTGTATCTCTATAAACAACCCCACATCGAACTTTAAACTCATGTTTTCCCACATTACATATTAAGATCAGCATACAGGAGTATTACCATGCATGTATTTGTATGTTATAGGAATATAGTTTTTTGTTTCCTCAATACCGAGAGAAGAGGAGCTTTTTATTCTTGGAGAGGTTAAGAATATTTTTGTCATCATTTTTTTCATTTATCATTTTCACTCACGATATATGTTTAAGACGTCAAAGAAGAAACTTGGTTCCATGTATATAAGTGTGTTGGGCAAATCATTATTACCATTATTCCAATTTTGATGAAAATAGTAATTGTATGGTTCGTCTCCCTCTATGACCCCATATCAATTTCATCAAACTCAATCACTTATATAAATAATAATTATTAATGTAAATGATGTTTATATATAGTATATTATTTTTATTTCTAATCAAACGCCATTTATTAAATCATAATTGAATTGGTGGCCGAAGAAACGTTGGATGTGTTTTTTTTTTCACAATATCTATTTTGGGAGGATTGTCGGCTGTTATGACTTACTTCTTGAGAAAGTAGAGAGTTGAGTTATCAAACAAGCCAGTTGGCACTAGATAGTGGTTATTTTCATAATGTAATCGCTGATTTTCCCATGTGGTAAGTCACAACAATAGATATTCCTTGTAAAAAAGTGAAATAATTCACATCCAACTGACAAATCAATAATACAATTAATAATTGTTAATAAGGAAGATGATAATTGTCAACTGTAAAATATATATATAACATATTTCAAAATTATATCTTCATCACCTATAAATAAAATATAATCTACTTTTTCCACAGTTAAACTGAACAGTAGTTCCAAGTTCTTATGGTTCAGCCTTTGGGTGGAGGCAGCTCATGGTAATCTGGGAAACCTTCACCTCTTCAGCGACGCGTTTACCAAGTACTCTGAAACTTGCTCTTCGACCATCACCTCTAGTTCCTTCTCTCCCAAAACAGAGATCCAAGCACTATGGAACGCTCCCGTTTCGGGTTCAGGATGCATCAGCTTCAAGTAAATAATGAATCTATTTTATATCATTTTAGCTGCAATGTGATATTGAGTTAATGGGTTTATAAAAGATGATTTTGGGGAAGAGACTATAATACGTATTTGTAGAAAAAAGCCTTTTCAGTCTCGATAAATAATAAATTTATTTCAAATTTATCCAAATTTTCGCCTCTCCAGGAATCTTCAGGAATAATCTGATTTTACATATAATTCAAAATTTTCATCTGAAAAACATTTTGTATTTCTTTGAAAGATTTTTGCCTAAGTTTTTCCAGATGAAAATTTTGAATTACACTTAAAATCAGATTATCCCTAAAGATGCCTAAAGAGGCGAAAATTTGGATAAATTTGAAATAAATTTATTATTTATAGAGGCTGAAAAAGACTTTTTCTACTAAGTAAATGGGTTATGAAATTACCAATAATATTGATTTGAAACTTAATAAATTAGTTTATTAATAAATATTGGTAATGTTTCAATTACAACTGTTTAAAATCCACTTCTTTTTCAAAAATATATGAACATATGAATGAACTTATAAACCCTTTAATACCCGAATTATTTATTCACAATTTTTTTTTTTTTTATGTATCTGTAACTAAATCACAAATATCAAATAAAACAGCATGATTTGTGTCATTATTTGCATAACGGTTGATCTTCAAACAAATGTTTTTGGATTTACATTTATATTTACTAAATATTGAAGTGGGGAGGGTAACGGCAAACCAACACCCATTTTACAAATTATAAAACTGTTCATTTAATTCTACAATTTCTCGCTCAAACCGTATAACTGTAATATACATGTATTCTGTCGTTCAGATTGTATTACTTTTTTCAATAAAGTATGAGCAGGAAAAAAAAATTCAAATCTTTATCCCAACATTTTAATTTGTTGAAATCGAATAATAAAATATTACCCAGTAATTTAAAACGTTTTTATTTAATAAAAAGAATCCCTACATTTTAATTTGTTGACATTGAAAAATAAAGTATGACAGTCAATAATTTTTTTTTTATATAATAAAGCGATATAATCTAAATAAAATCAAGAATTTTTAATTCGGCATCAGAGAGGAATAACATGTACTTGAAAACAGTGGAAAATATTATATGAATCGATAAAAACCGCCCTTGAACTTCTAAAAAATAATGTGGGAAATCGGAAAAATTTATTAACGTATTACTTATTTTGGAGATTTACTTGGATTTCTAATCCTTAAAATGGGAACAAACCACCCCAAAAAGGTTTTAAATATTAACAAGAAAAATTATGACTACTCATTATTATTATTATTTTTTAACATTGACCTTATTTGAAAAAAGTCTGTAGCTGAAAGCAAATTTAAAAATAAATTTATTTATTTTCATTTCTTATACTTCTAATGATCATCAGAATGTTTGAATGTTTTGGTTTTAGAGAGTAAACAATTTTTTTTTTCTAATTTACTGTCCGTTATTAATTATAGTGGTCCTTTTTAATGCCTGCCCATTACGTATTGCCAACAGAGCTGCTGTGGTCGAACAGCCTGATGTGTGGTATCAAGAGGACGGCCCTCTCACTTACACCATCTGCGAGGACTTGCAAGAAATGTCTAGCGAGAAACAGCTCACCCAGTGCTGTGCATGCGATGAGGCTAAGTATGAGGTAAATACAAACTCAGATATAATGCTTGTATCATATGCTTGTATGCTTGTATTGTATAAGAACATGCCATGATTTGATAGAGTAATTTCCATGTTATTGGTTTCAGGTTAGCTTCGAAGGTCTTTGGTCTAGACAAACACATCCGAAAGATTTTCCGGAAGGCGAGAATACGAGGTTCAGTGATGTTATTGGAGCATCCCACACGTCTGAATACAGGTAAGTACTTGAAATCAATAACTATAATAATGCTTATTTATTGTTTTTTAAAAAGATATCATTTTTGTCTTACTATTTCTCAACTGTTATATAATTTATTTTTCCATCTGCAACATCTATGCACAATGAATGGCGGTACTCAATTGTTTAGTTCTCGCTGCAAATACATTTTAACATACACTGTTTACAGTCATTACATTGCAATTCTCTACCTCTGGGAACGGAGGGCAAAGTGGTAATAAGAAAGGTCTAGAGGCATTATTTTAGCAGGCTAAAAAGTCATAACAAATTTGAATCGAAATATTTGCGATATTCTGAACTTCCTATGAATATTTACAAGAGATTCTATCCTTTAAACTATACTTGACCAGTACCTGATGACCAGAGAGACAGCAATAGCATGAAAGTTTGTAGAACAGTTTTGAAAAGTTGGATGCTAACTGTTCGAAGAGGACTGTATTTTAAGATAGTAATGCAGATATTGTTGGTTACATACATAGGCGCAGACTTCGAGGGGGGGGGGTGGAAGGGAGACTGTCGCGCCTCCAGTAAAAATAGCGAGACGTAGAGGGAGCGAGAATATCGTTTCATTTCTCCCCAAATATTTCGAAGAACCAAAATTTAAATAAATAACAATTAATCTAAATTATTAAATAACATATGTAAACTCAGATCAATTAAGAAAATAAGAAAGATCGACTAGATGATTAAGCTATTCCCTAAAAGTAGGTAAGCATGTATTTTACCACTAGGTTTTTATTATTGAAATTTAAGTTTATATTCAAGGATAATTGTATCGTTTAGTTTAGTGGACTGTAGATCCATAGGTTGTTGGTTCAAATCCGGCCCGGAGGACCAAATAGTATGATGTAGAGAGCAATGTTGTAAAATACACGAACATAGTCTCAATCCCGTTTCAATAAGTGCCAGTCATTTGAAAAATGGGAAAGGAAAAAAGAATACAAATAATAATAATAAAAGGCTTAGCGAACCCGAAGGTTCGATGCCGACACCACCAATCGCCCACTACACACCTCCCTCCACCGTTCGCCGTCCAAATCCAGTCCCTTCAAATCGGTTTTAATGCAATCTTCTCACCTTCGCTTCAGTCTACCCCTCGGACGCTTACCATTCGGCACCGCACATATTAACCTTTTAGGAATTCTCTCGTTACTAAGCCCAACAACTTTACAAGCCCATTTGATTCGCCGCGATGAAATTACCTCAATTATATTACCCGGATACAGCTCACGCAATTCGGCGTTGTGTAACCGTCTGAACTCTCTCGTTAACTCATCCTTCTTCGGTCCAAATATTCTACGCAATACTTTATTTTCAAAAACCTTAAGACGCTGCTCATCCCTTAATGTAAGCGGCCAAGTTTCGCATCCATAAAGAACTGTAGGCAAGATAATTGTTTTATAGATTCTAATTTTTAAGTTTCGGGACAAGAGGCGCGAACTAAGTAGTTTTGTCACAGAAAAATAACAAGCATTCCCCGCCTTCAGTCTAACCTTAATCTCTTCTTCAATTTCGTTTTTTCTAGTTATCGTAGAACCTAGATACCTAAATTTATCTACCTGTTCAAACATATTACCATCTATATCGATATCACCAGTAGTATCGCCATTTTTGCAGCTAACCATATATTTTGTTTTATCCACGTTTATTTCGAGTCCTAGTTCTTTACCGGCTTTCATCAACGTTGTCGTATTTAGTTTTATAGTTTCAACATCTTCGCTTAACAGTACCAGATCATCAGCATAGCCCAGTACGGATGTTGTCCCTTTCTCGGTTCGCATTACCTCCCTAATGGCATGTTCTAATGCCAAATTGAACAGGACAGGCGAAAGAGAATCCCCCTGTTTTAAGCCCGAACGAACCTCAAATTTTTCGGACAAATTATTACCGATTCTAACTTTATTGAGTGTCTCCGTCAAGCACATCCTGACTAGATTTACTAGTTTTTTTGGAATCCCCTGCTCGATTAGAATATTATACAGTTTCTGGCGGTCAATAGAATCGTAAGCCTTTTTAAAATCTATATACAGCTGGTGAACAATACCGTTATACTCCAATTTTTTCTCTAATATTTGCCGTAAAGAAAATATTTGATCAATAGTTGAACGATTCCGTCTAAATCCGCATTGGTAGTCTCCGATAATTTCCTCGGCGTATTCCGTGATTCGACTGGTTAAGATTAAAGTATATATTTTATAACATACCGGAAGGAATGAAATTCCTCGATAGTTATTACAATCCGTCCTCGGGCCCTTTTTGTGAATCGGAATAAGAATAGATTCTTTCCATTCTTCAGGTAATTTCTCGTTCACCCAGATCTTTTTAACCAACCGATGTATTTTAGAAACTCCAGATTCCCGCTGCTTTATATGATTTTAATTTTCCGATAGCTACTTCAACTTCCTCTTTACTTGGTCCTTCTATTAACGGTTCAGCACTCTGGTACTCAGAAGGAGGACACAGATCATAATTTCCCGTATTTAAAATATTGTCAAAGTGGTCCTTAAACATATTCAATATGTCAACCGGATCGGTCAGAATATTGTTATTATCATCCCTAATTCCAGACGTTACGGGCCCTACATAATATATAGATATATATATTACGTGATCCAGATATACGTGATCTGTTTATACCTTTGTACATGTCTCTTACGTTATTTTCGATTCTATTAGTTTCTATTTCAATTATTTTATTTTTAAGATATTCCCTTTTTTTATTTTTGAGCAATTTTGTCGTTTCGTTCTTTGAGATTCGGAAGTATTCCAGATTTTCTTCGCTAGGATTATTTAGAGCTTTTAATTTAGCGGCTTTTCTTTTTTCACACATGTTTAAGCAATCTTCATCAAACCACGGTTTGTTATTCTTATTTTCCTTTTTTCCTAGACACGAGTTACCGACCGCTTTAATATTATCTCTGATCTCTATCCATAACTTGTCAATATCCTCGTGGTCCTCGTCAGGAAGCTCTAAAGCTTCAAACCTATTCTTAACATCTAGCTCGAATTGGTTTCTAATTGATGGATTTTTTAATTTTTCCAAATTAAAATTCTCAAAATCGAAACGGTTTTCTTTTCTCTTTTTTATATTAAGTTTTTGTCGAAGTTTCGCGATTACTAATTCATGATCCGACCCACATTCTGCTCCGCGATAAGACCGTACATTAATTATACTGCTTTGTCAGCTGTGTTGTATCAAGACATGATCGATTTGATTTCTTGTTTGCGAATCCGGTGATGTCCAAGTATATTTATGAATATCCTTATGTTTAAACGTCGTACTTTTAATTATCAGATTTTTCGAGATGGCAAAGTTTATCAGACGGGTCCCATTATCATTACTATATTTGTGCAAACTTTCTTTACCAATCGTCGGAATATAAACTTCTTCCCTTCCTACCTTTGCGTTCGCGTCACCTACAATTATTTTCATGTAGTTTCGCGGTAGTTTATCATAAACCCATTCGAGTTTATCGTAAAATTCACTTTTGACTTCATCGTCACTGTCTTCGGTCGGACAATGTATGTTTATTAATGCGATTTTAAACCAACGTCCCTGAAATGTAGCTACCGAAATTCTATCACTAAAGAATTGTACGTCCCTCAAAGCGGATAGTAATCTACTGCTAATTAGAAACCCGGTACCTAAACAATGATTCCCGCTTTCTCCGTACCAAATAGTGTACTTTCCTTCCCTCATCGAGCCCTTCTCTGGCCAGCGAACCTCTTGCAGAGCTACGACATCCAAATTGTACCCATTCACCTCATACGCGACCGATTTTAGCCCCCCTGCTGTGTTTAAACTCCTTACGTTCCACGTACCAATATTTAAATCTCTATATTTGAACTTGCGCCATGAATCCCCTAAAGCAGTCCCCACCCGGAGACCCGAACGGGGGACTAGTTTACTTCCGGATAATGAGCGTTTTACCTTAGGGAGATCCATGACTATTTGTGGTGTTTGGTGGACTAAAGATATGTGAGTAGGGCGTTCAATCCTACGTCACACCCTCCAGCAAGTCTGGTGGGCCCCTACCTCCAGCAAGTCTGGAGGTCCCTTCCCTCCAGCAAGTCTGGAGGGCCCCTCTCATTGTTGGTCAGCGAGTCCATCGGACTTAGCCGGGAGGAACTTCCAAGGAATTTCCACCGACCATCCCCACATCCGCCACCCGTGGGACGCTCCCCATACGCGGTAATGAGCCCGCGCGAGGAAAAAGAATACAAAGTAATTGGAAAATTGGAAAACCAAATAATACATTACTTTAGTTATGAATCGAGAGATTACAATTTACAATTAACCTAAACTATACAAAATTATAATGACATATAAGCTATACAAAAATTATAATCATATGTGCATATTTAAATAATAAAGAAATTTTCCACAGGAAAAAATATTAATACTTCAAAATCAATTATTTGAGAAAAAACAGCAAATTAAATTTATAGTGATATAAGATTGGGAACTAATAAATACAATGTAAAGTAGAAATTAATTATAATCAAGCAATGTCTGAAAAAAAAAAAAAAATGAAGAGGTGATTCTCGCAGGGAAATTTATAGTGAAGTCCAAACGTCTAAACTATGGCGGTGTTCTGTTGTATAAGGTTGGATTTCATATTAAATAAAAAATAATCAGGCCTCATTTTACCGTACTGTTGGAGATGTATCTCTTTTTATTCCTGCTGGCAGCTAAAGAACGTTGAGACACCGACAAAGATAAACAGCAAAGTTACCCCTGCCCTAGGTAAATACAAACGATGATAGACACTGACTATCTGAAAGGGACACACTCACTCAACTCTCTTAGCTTATACATGGCAAGAGCATAAAGACTTATACTATATTAAAGACTTACTTTACGCTTATACTTTACAAAACGCTCGTTCGATTTAGCCCAAAGTTAAGTTGTAAAATCGTGTACGAACGGTTAAAAATAAATTTCTTCGAATTCTTATTAAACGATTCGAATTAATGTA